CAAATTTTGATCACGATATGTCATGACCTAAGGATAATTCCACTACGGTAACACTGAGCCGAATCAATTTCACATGGACGCCTTCTATCCTCATCATGTTTACACTTGCTCAAAATCACGCGTCAGTATCGTGACAGGAATACGGCCTTGAGGAACAACAATTCGATAAAAGAATAACGCCAGCTCCATGAAATTCCCAAGTAGGCATGATTACACATGGTCGTTTGCTGGTTTCAATTATTGCAACGACACACATGAGGACCGAACAGGGACAAGTACTCACACGCATCACGTCGGAAAGCATCAGAACTCCACAAGATAGATAACAGAAACCAGGAAGCAGGTGGCAGTTAATCCTCGAAATAAAACAAGAGAACCTCCGTCCAAACAGACTTACAGAAATACAATATATAGGTGGCAGTTAATCCTCGAAATAAAACAAGAGAACCTCCGTCCAAACAGACTTACAGAAAATTTTACAATATATGCTCGAAATTGTAAGCTCACCGTTTGAAGCTTATGTACCGTAATTATTTTTATCGGGGCGCATCTATTAGTTATAACCTCATGCACTCAACATATAGACTCTGCTGTTTTCTCCCGCCTAATTCTTTACTAGGTTATTTTCTCTTTAGCAATGGGGCACGTTCATAAACACAAGCATTTTATACAGCAGCTTGGTGTTATTCATGCCATGAACAGACCTACCTAGAAGCCTTTTAAACTTGACCAATTTTGTTTCCTCAACTTTTTTCAACATCCTCTTGACATTATTTTCCCGTTGGACACCATTTTCGCCTTTTCGATCAGGAGCGGCGCTCCTTCGTCTACGACGAACGTTTACTTATTTTGCGTTCACTCTACCGCCGTTCAGCCGAATGCCAGGAAGAAAACACTGCGGCGCTACTCAATAGTTGCACGATGTGACACATGGAATATAAACCTTAACATTCTATTGCCAGCAAGCTATCCCTAAAACAAATAAAAACGCATTGCACCTGACAAGGCGAAAAGACAAAAGTGAGCGCCACATGTAAACAAATGAAACCCTATTAGTGAAACACTTGGTTAACAAAATATTTCTTATGTTGGAATCATCTGAGGGATAGACACTTAGGCGAATCTCTGGAGGATTCACCAATAATAACAAAACAACGATGGCTAATCAGTTGGCGGAGTGCGTTATAGGAACATATCATGTGCATACAATGAAGATCCTGATTATAAATACAAATAATTAGACAAAGCAAAATAGTTCATTTTGTTTGAAAAACCCAGAAGCTCAGAAGAAAATTATTCCATTCACTTCCCAAAAAGAGTCACTGAAATTTAACCACTTGTTGCATTTCGGTAGTATCTAATTTGGTTTCCGCCATCTTGAATATAATTATACATAGTAACCAGCGTCTGCGTATAGAATATATTGCGCCACGTGACACAGCTTTGCGTATGATGCTCCCGAATTAATCGATCATTATGCTAACCAATTCTTTACCCACATACTTGACGTGGAGTCACCTTAGTTAGAAAATATCCCTTCTAACAGGACGCGATGATGCGTGAAGCGAAGATCCCGGCCAATGGTGAAGTATCAGTCATCTGTGAGAATTTTTGTCTGACAGTTAAAACGTTATTTTCCCCGGCGGTGTCTTTCCCCTGACTGACTTGTTGGTTTGATATGTTCTCGTGACGGTGCTACTGACAAAGAAACGTTCAGCATTCAACGATCCTCACGCAAAGAAGCGCATAATGTGCAGAATCTGACTGCAAGTTCGCTGTTGGGTCGGATTTCGCTCCAGAAAAAGAAACGGAGCGTTGTGGGAACTTTGAAATTGCTGTTGTAAACTATAAAACCACTCAAAGATGATAGCTTAACAGTGACAAAGATTACCGGTTTCTCTTACCCGATCACCCTGCATCCATTTGTTCTCTAATGGAGTGCAATTTTGCAACTGAATTGATGTCATTATCATGTCACGAACAGAATGGTAAGTTTCGTGCCTTCTGGTTGTGTATAAGATCATGTGTACCCACCAGTGTACATCTACACCGTTGGCATTCTGCCACTTCTACTTTATTACGGGTCACTTCAGGTTAAACAAGGGAGATGAAATCAGGCCAAAATACATGTAATTCACAATTATTTTATTGCGACTTTTCAGGTTCGTCCGCATCCATCATACACGTGTAAATGTGATATTACTGATGTGGAGGCAAGTGGGCAGTAAGTTATTTTGGTGTAAAGTGGCTACGCGTTTTTTTTTGAAAAGACAGATCCATTGAAGAATTTATAGAATTACTTCGTAGCGTTTGCTTGAACTTAAACAACAGTCATTGAATGTACAGAAAAGTTCGGGAAGATGCATTCCAGAGAAGATGGGTGTTCATTTTCTATGTAAACAATATGAATATGAAGTTTTCGACTCCCTCTCCATAAGTTTGGGACTGGTCAATTAGCGTTTTCTAATAACTAACTCCGTAGCAAAGACCTCCTTCCTTTTGCAATAAGATAAATCGTACTTAAGCTCACTTAACTATTATGCACAGTTCAGCCTCGGAATTTCAAATCTTTGTTGTAATAAGAGGCACAGAATTGAAAAAAATGGGTCGGGTTATTCTAACGTTTTGGCATCACTCCTTGCGCCATCACTAGTTTTGTGATGCTAGAAGCACGGTAGTCTAACCTTGTTTAAAAATATGCATTCATTTACACTCCTAGACGATAGCCTGGCTACGGATAATTGCTGAAAAAGAGGAACAAAAAATTCATAAGAAATTCTAAGACCTCGTGCAGATGACGGTGTGCTGGGTATCAAATCGTGGGACGCTCAGCGAGAACAGTTTTAGGATCGTACAAGTAACAAGGTGTTCCAAAACAACCGATATAATATACACAAAGGAAAATGTACACTTTTGTGACGACTGACGGCGCAGTGGTGTCCTTTTATCATATCGCAGGCTGACTATGAACATGTGTATATGTTGGCGTTTGTTCTAAAATCTATATTCAATCATGGACAGCAAAATCAACCTCAAAATCTTTAAACGCTGACCGGCAATGTACAGATGCAGAGCAAAATTCTAGTATGCAGAGAATTACTCGTATAAGATAGCGAATATACGTTCTCTTATTTGGATTTAAGCTGCCGAGATACAACTGTCAAGGTAAACTGAGGTATATTCAACAAAAGTAAGACGTGTGTAACACGAAAACCTCACTAACAATGATTATGAGGTTACAACTAACGAAATTCTTCCAGACATTTTTCATCGGAATTAGTCAGTTGACTCTGACTCAATCAGCTCTGACTTTTTTCCTTCTAAACTTTTGGAGAAGGTAGGTCACGAGGAGAATTATTCCGTCACGAATGGACTGAACCGTACCGTGGTGTAACGGTCTGCGCATCTTTGCGATCCATTGAACGTTCCTGTAAAATAGCCCCGCGACACTCACAATGTCCCACATACCAGGTTGTTCAATTGCTAGAGGTCTGACGAACACAGTCTTCTGGCACTCCAGGTTGGAGGATGGATTATGTGGTGACGTGTTCCGTAGAAATGGTGGGGTATTTTATCAAATTTTGCCAAATATGCCACCCTGTGGTTAGGCTTTTGAGCCAAAGACTTTGGTTAAAAAGACTGACTTTCCTGCTTAGGTTTCGGCGAATACATGTATAGACTGATTCATCTTGTATTGTGACCTTTGTTGCAAAATTGTTTTCAGAAAATTCCTCGAGCTCATTGAGTTGGCGAAGCTCTAAGTGACTTTGGTTTGATTGTTTAAGTAAGTTAAACTGGTCCTCAGCACATGCGAGCACGCATATATCATCGAGTAGTGTCGCAACTCCTGGCGAACCTCAAAGTTCACACCGACTCAGGGTCACGTGTTTATAAGATATCGAAACCACGTGTGAACTTAAACAACACGTCTGATGACAAGGTCGAAGAACGGTTTATGTTCAGGTCAAAAACAACAAAGGTGGCATAGGCACAGACCAAAATAACAAAAAGTGGTTATCGCGTTTTACAATACAAGAAACAGAAGAAAGGAATCAAGACCGCCCCCCAAATCCAGCATGATTTTCCCTAATCTACCATTTCAATCCACCGAATGGAAGAAAGCTATCACCGAGATTGGATACGATTGCTCTAGCCAGAAACGCTTTCGTCAATCTGCAGCATGCCCCTAGGCTTGTGAGCAACTAGCTTTCCTCTACTCCTTCCAGCAGGCAGATTTTTCTCAAGTACACAAGGATATATTGCAAAAGAATGAAGTCTTATGAATGATAATTGATTAATTTTAAATGTGTTTATTGTGAAGTGGAAATAAGCAAAAAGGTTGCTTTTACCAGCAGTTTGCCCCTCCCTGCAGCTGAGCATTGAAAGAGAACGTGTCAACCGTTGGTGGCACATCATATGAAAGTGGAAAATCTATAATGAAGGTGCTACTCGAATTGCAAGTTTTGTCCACAGTCTTTTTTACCGGATACCGCGACGCGGTTTGCGTCCATTTGTACGCACATATCGTCTTCAGTGAATTCCATGTCGACTGGGATCTCCACTTGCAAATTTTCGCCTCCAGACTTGTCGTCCTTTAGAACAGTCGGTCAGAGAACACCAGTTGTTTGGATTGCAAATGCACCTTTGGTTTGAGGATTACCTAGCGATCACGGAAGAAATTTTCTAACGGTAGTCTGCCGTCCTCACCAAGGCTTCAAGTATTAACACACCGTCTTCGGTAACATGGCACTCCAGTTGATTCTTGTCAACCGATTTGTGTGTTTCAATTGCTTGGGAGTACTCTCGACCGCTTAAAGCCCGATAGGTTGGGACCTTGTACGGTCACACCATTGCCAGATGTGGACACTTTGATATCATCCGGCCCGTAACGGTCGAACGATGACGCTTAATACCAGAACCTCCGGGTAGGCAAAACAAAGTCGGAGCCGGGAATCGATGCGGTACTATTAGGGCAAGAGAGGTTCACAATTTGTACAAACCTCGGCAGTGGATACGCGTCCAAAACAAACAGTCCGCTGGGACTGCAAAAGTGCAAAGCAAGGGAGCAAACAGGCTCCAACGTGCGACAGTCACACGTGCAAATTCAGATACAAGTGGCCGGATGACCTCGAGGCCAACTGGGTGAACTGGTAAGGACAAACAAACGTCAGTTCATGTATACACACTAGACACAAAAGTGGGGCGGGGTTTACAAATGGGGACAGAATAAACGTGCCGAATTTCATTGTCAACATAATGGATGATACATCGCCCGCCAAATTCTCCACGTTGACTCAGCGGGCGCCCCGGTTCTTGCCTTCTAGCTATGCACAGCTCCATTCTAAGGTACCTCATTAGCCACTGATACGAATGGTCCGAGTCCACTCTTGCCACAAGTGCCGACTTCGCTGGAGTACATGCCTAATCGCGTCCCTCCAGGAAACACAACTTTCTAATATCTCTCTTATAAAGCCGCACGCATTTCTAACATGCAGGGTTCTTACTAAGCCACCTGGGGTCGCCTCACTACCGTCCACTACCCCTAGAGGCCATTTCTCACGAGGTAAGTCCTTACCAAAGACCAGAACCAAGTCTCCTCGTTTCAATTCTTGAGTTGCTCTGAGCCACCTATTGCACACCTGCAACGTTGGCAGATATACCATTATCCGACGACGACAGAACACACCAGCGAGATAAATGACCTGTTTGCAACCGGTATGACATCGCGGGGCCAAACCGTCGCGGCCGGGTACTGCAGGACAGCACCGTATGAGCAACACACTATTTGGAGCAAACGGCTCCAACTAGTTGCTGGCTGGTGAAAGCGGGACTAGAAGTCGGTTAGTTAGAATCCGTTGTCCCCGTATAAGGAGCGTGTTCAGTTGTTCATCAGTCAAAAATAGTTCCCTACATGGGCGTTTCAATGACCTGATTATACGCTCCCACACACCACTACGATGGCTAGTCGCTGATGGATTGAAGTGCCACTGCATATTCATGGTCGAAGACAGATGTGATAATTCACTCTGGCTCCACCGCTTTATATCATCTCGAAATTCCGGAACGCTTCGCATCCAGCATAGAGGCGTTAACCTGATGCAGCTCTTGAGCGAAGTGACTGGAATGCACCATCTTCATCAAACAATTACGTGCTTGGCGGAGTTCGGATACTCTGATAACACCGGAAAGTAGAGCCCCTTATCTCGCTCTGCCCGTCTTAATCAATAGATATTGCCTGTAACGTAGTAACCAAGACACGACACGTAGCTTCATCCAACAGGAGATCCGGGACATTAGTGGGCACATGGCATCAATTCCCTCCCGTCGGTCAGCCTGTGCTACAAGGCTCTTCAGCGCACCTCTATCACAGGGGTCAACCTTGACCTGTAGCAAAATGTCTTCGATGTCGGCTGCCACAGCAACTTGCTCTAAACGGAAGCCTAGCATAACATTTACAAGTTTTGTGGTCAAATCAGCGCCTGGATACAGGTGATAGTTCAGGGACACACCATGACATTTGGCAGCGCAGCAAAATACAACCCGAATCTTTTCTGGCTTTTTTGAGCTAATAACCGGATGGTGTGGGAGATACCTCTGCTTTGAATTTAACGACAACGTGGGAGCATCTGCCACCCGTTCAATGTATCCATTCTGCGTGTTTGCGCGAAGAAACTTATTGTACGTTCCATGTAAAACACGATCCTTGCACGCCACCTGGAAGTTATCGGGTAGGATAAGTGCCCTATCCCTCCATGAAAGCGTCAGCTGTTAGTGCCCACTTACTCGCACCGCACCGGTCTCTGCTATCAACAGTGCTCTTTGATCCTCTAAAGAGAGACTAGTGTTCGGTGCTGCAGTGTCTGCGAATTCCGAGTTGTTCAGTCGCTGCAAATGCTCCTGGATGCCCTGATTGCACCTGGTTATACGATGACTGACGAAATTCTGCAACGTCCCGTTTTTTAACGGCTCAAGAAGTATACAACCGAGTGAGGATTTCACAGCGAACGGCTTGACTGTTTTCAGCGGTCAGTTGGATCACGTTGAGTTACGCGCAAAACCACAAAAGCCAAATCGTTCAAATGGATGTTTCTACGAATGCGGTATTATAAATACAATAATAAAAAAATAAAACTGTACAAACCTTAAAGTCCGTGACCAGGACGGCTTCTGCACACCGGTTTAGGAACTGCTAATTCCCAACGGGTCTCAAAGTCCACGCCGACTCGGAGCCACATGCTTAATAGCTAGCGAAACCACGTGTGAACTTAAACAACACGTCTGATGACAAGGTCGAAGAACGGTTTATGTTCAGGTCAAAAACAACAAAGGTGGCATAGGCACAGACCAAAATAACAAAAAGTGGTTATCGCGTTTTACAATACAAGAAACAGAAGAAAGGAATCAAGACCGCCCCCCAAATCCAGCATGATTTTCCCTAATCTACCATTTCAATCCACCGAATGGAAGAAAGCTATCACCGAGATTGGATACGATTGCTCTAGCCAGAAACGCTTTCGTCAATCTGCAGCATGCCCCTAGGCTTGTGAGCAACTAGCTTTCCTCTACTCCTTCCAGCAGGCAGATTTTTCTCAAGTACACAAGGATATATTGCAAAAGAATGAAGTCTTATGAATGATAATTGATTAATTTTAAATGTGTTTATTGTGAAGTGGAAATAAGCAAAAAGGTTGCTTTTACCAGCAGTTTGCCCCTCCCTGCAGCTGAGCATTGAAAGAGAACGTGTCAACCGTTGGTGGCACATCATATGAAAGTGGAAAATCTATAATGAAGGTGCTACTCGAATTGCAAGTTTTGTCCACAGTCTTTTTTACCGGATACCGCGACGCGGTTTGCGTCCATTTGTACGCACATATCGTCTTCAGTGAATTCCATGTCGACTGGGATCTCCACTTGCAAATTTTCGCCTCCAGACTTGTCGTCCTTTAGAACAGTCGGTCAGAGAACACCAGTTGTTTGGATTGCAAATGCACCTTTGGTTTGAGGATTACCTAGCGATCACGGAAGAAATTTTCTAACGGTAGTCTGCCGTCCTCACCAAGGCTTCAAGTATTAACACACCGTCTTCGGTAACATGGCACTCCAGTTGATTCTTGTCAACCGATTTGTGTGTTTCAATTGCTTGGGAGTACTCTCGACCGCTTAAAGCCCGATAGGTTGGGACCTTGTACGGTCACACCATTGTCAGATGTGGACAATTTGATATCATCCGGCCCGTAACGGTCGAACGATGACGCTTAATACCAGAACCTCCGGGTAGGCAAAACAAAGTCGGAGCCGGGAATCGATGCGGTACTATTAGGGCAAGAGAGGTTCACAATTTGTACAAACCTCGGCAGTGGATACGCGTCCAAAACAAACAGTCCGCTGGGACTGCAAAAGTGCAAAGCAAGGGAGCAAACAGGCTCCAACGTGCGACAGTCACACGTGCAAATTCAGATACAAATAGCCGGATGACCTCGAGGCCAACTGGGTGAATTGGTAAGGACAAACAAACGTCGGTTCATGTATACACCCTAGGCATAAAAGTGGGGCGGAGGTTACGAATGGGGACAGAATAAACATGGGGAATTTGATCGTCCACATAACATATGATACACGTCCCATAGCCCTGTAGATCGAATGTAACCTTGAAATGTACTCGGTCTTCTTCACCAAGTTGATAGGCGTGTTTGAGGAAATCAAGCGAGCTGCCGCTGGTCCGTAGAGCCATCGATACGAACTTTTCTGCTTCTGTTGGTGTAGCCTGACTGGTCTATTGTTCCATGTGTAAGTCGATGCACGAAGTCGATACTCCACGTGATTGATTACAGAGTGCACTTGGACTGACTCCAAATCTGTCCATGAGCACAAGGGAGAACGTTTCTTCCCGAAAGCGCTTCATTCCGGCGTTCCAACGGTCTTGAGTTTCTTCGCCCCATCGATTCACTTGATCATTCCAGTCAGGAGCATGAACCAGTTGAGCTAGAGAGTTCCGATCACCTGAGGCGCGACGGCCAAGCCTGTTTTCAAACGCTGACATCATGTCCCTCTGACAAGTCCGCCCATCCCAGCTGACAGGGATATCCCATGCACGGCTAACGAACATAGCGACAGGAGCCACATTCTGGGTCTCATCGGGACGTGACTTTCCGGTGAGAGAATTACATAAATGCAGAAAGGCGTGCTGTTGCATGTATTGCATTAGTGGTTATTCTGCTGTTATCATTCATTTTGGTCCCATGTGTTCTGGGCTTTGTAGAAAGGCGGGACCATGCAACCAAATGTCTTAAACATCCATGCGGCTACCATAGACTCCTCTTGGTGCTTGACATGCTGGATTTTCTTGCGTTGGCACATACATCCACTTCGATATTTCGGTATCTTCATGAATGAATTCCAGCCTATCAGCGACCAACATCCTATATTTGGACTTTCTGTTATTGATGTAATGAAACACGACCATAGAGTCGGTCCACAATTATATGCTGTCTATTTTCAAACTCGGTTCCCTCTTGATGAGCCTCTTCAAACTTACGGACAAGACAACAGTTTGTAATTCCAGTCGGAGTATTGCAACATGTTTCATGGGGGCAAAGGAGATTTGCCAATCAGAGAATTACGGCATACCTGCGTATACAACGTAAATAAACAACAGATCTGTATCCAACTTCTGAGGCGTCGCAGGAGATATGCAGCTCTGTGTGGTGTACATCAAATCCAGTAGGCAGGAGTCATCGAGGGATTTGCAATGCCTCAACTCATAGTATGTCTCACTGCCACAGTCCCACAAATTTTCCACGGCCGTATCAATGCGTTCGTCCCTGGCTGCTTTCTTCTTGCACAGTGCCTGTAATATTTTGTTTGGATCCTGCAGGAGGAGCTGGTCAAAAATAGCCCATCCCAAGGCCGTGAGATATGAGCACAAGGGAGAACGTTTCTTCCCGAAAGCGCTTCATTCCGGCGTTCCAAGGGTCTTGAGTTTCTTCGCCCCATCGATTCACTTCATCATTCCAGTCAGGTGAACGAACCAGTTGAGCTAGAGAGTTCCGATCACCTGAGGCGCGACGGCCAAGCCTGTTTTCAAACGCTGACATCATGTCCCTCTGACAAGTCCGCCCATCCCAGCTGACAGGGATATCCCATGCACGGCTAACGAACATAGCGACAGGAGCCACATTCTGGGTCTCATCGGGACGTGACTTTCCGGTGAGAGAATTACATAAATGCAGAAAGGCGTGCTGTTGCATGTATTGCATTAGTGGTTATTCTGCTGTTATCATTCATTTTGGTCCCATGTGTTCTGGGCTTTGTAGAAAGGCGGGACCATGCAACCAAATGTCTTAAACATCCATGCGGCTACCATAGACTCCTCTTGGTGCTTGACATGCTGGATTTTCTTGCGTTGGCACATACATCCACTTCGATATTTCGGTATCTTCATGAATGAATTCCAGCCTATCAGCGACCAACATCCTATATTTGGACTTTCTGTTATTGATGTAATGAAACACGACCATAGAGTCGGTCCACAATTATATGCTGTCTATTTTCAAACTCGGTTCCCTCTTGATGAGCCTCTTCAAACTTACGGACAAGACAACAGTTTGTAATTCCAGTCGGAGTATTGCAACATGTTTCATGGGGGCAAAGGAGATTATCAGAGAATATTACGGCATACCTGCGTATACAACGTAAATAAACAACAGATCTGTATCCAACTTCTGAGGCGTCGCAGGAGATATGCAGCTCTGTGTGGTGTACATCAAATCCAGTAGGCAGGAGTCATCGAGGGATTTGCAATGCCTCAACTCATAGTATGTCTCACTGCCACAGTCCCACAAATTTTCCACGGCCGTATCAATGCGTTCGTCCCTGGCTGCTTTCTTCTTGCACAGTGCCTGTAATATTTTGTTTGGATCCTGCAGGAGGAGCTGGTCAAAAATAGCCCATCCCAAGGCCGTGAGATATGCGTAAGGATGTTTTGAAGGACCCCGAGTTTGCCCGATAACCCAATGAGCTTCTGGGACATTGGTTTCTATTAAAACCGAGACGTTTTACCCAGGAATTCGTGTGGGTCGATCGTCCGCTAGATGCGTACATTCGCTCAGCAGCGAATCAACCGGAACGGAAGTCTTGGCGATGGAAGTGACCCTGATAGTGTGGGGGCAGTCGACGTTCACAACATACCCGTGGTGCAAAGACTGCTTGGCAAAGAGACGGTCATAGTATCCTTGATATCGGAGCCATTTACCAAGGATACGTCTACACGCGGTGCTACGCCCTCTATTCCAAATTGTTTTGCCACGTCTGTTGTTAGTATGCTGTTATCAGATCCACTGTCTAACAAGGCATGAGTTAGCAAAGTCCCCTTTGGACCAATGTGCCGAAATGCTACGAAACCAAGGTGGTCTCGGGGCCTTCCAACTAACGTTGAGTTGACGTTGGCAGCTTTTCTTGCCTTAATAGCCATTTGCTGCGTGTCGTGTAGCAGACGGTGATGTCGCTGGTTGCTATTCGATACGGCGCAGCCTAGAGTGACGCGACTTTCAAATGCTCTATGTTTAGGCTCCAGGCAATCGAAGCATAACTTGAGGCCTCCAAGCATACTCAGTTTCTTGACCTGGTTTAGAATGCCAAAACACTTCACAGTCTGGAAGGCTATGAGCCAGGGTACAGCGAGCACAAGTCACGCTCGCTTTTACAGCTACGACGTTGATGCGGGCCTTTCAAGGTGAGCGTTCTAAGCCTACTTTGTCAATCTGATTACCATATCTTCTTGTGCTCGTGATAACACCATAGCAGTTTGAAGCAATGGATACACTTCTGTTAAGACAGGATACTAAATGATCAAACTCCTGCTCTGACCCCTAAAGCAGTACGTCATCTGCCGCCTCAGCTCACTTTTCTTGCAGACGCTGAAGTACGCCTTCCACTATATGCTTGAGGTTGCTGGAGCAATTCAAGTCCGCCATGTAATGCATCTGTCTCAATGCGAGATCACATTTCATCATTTTCCTTATCATCCTTCGTAAGGTATCGACGTCTCTGGGAACAGTGGGTCCTCCAGTCAGAAGCTCGTTCATGAACGACTGCAATGTCGTGTGGCCTTCCAAAGTGCGTCTTTAGGATATCCATGGCTCTTTGATAGCCTGTCTTTCCAGGGTGGAACAGGCAGTGTTAAATGGCCTCCTTGGCTTCCCCACAGCAGTATTGGAGATGGGACATGAATTTATTGCTCTCGTCAAGCAGCCGATGAGCTAAGCTCATTTCGAACGTTTTTATAAAATTCCAGAATTTTATCGGATTCCCGCTGAACGTATCTATTTCTATTTTCGGCAGGTTGAACCCTGGCGTTGTGGTGTAGGGACCAACAAGTTTGCCGTCCATTTCATGCGCCGCGGTTCGAGACCCGGCTGCGCCAACTTTTCTGGGCCGATTAGTAAATAAATTCGTGCGTTCCGTTTCATCTGAATAAAAATTCATTACGAAATTGTCGGCCTTCGGATCACGGGACGGAAACCCATGTTAACAGTCACTGCATGTCGAGTTTTCATCATCAGATTAGTCATACGGCAACAGCACCTGCTTGCGGGACGCTAAGCTGCGCCTACTAATCTCCAGCACCTTCATCTCTATTGCAAGTATCTCATTCTCTAACCTAATTCTCTGTATACCCACGTGCCTGCTGGAGCTCATATAACCAGATACGCTAGGCTTAGGGGAGAATGTTCACAAAATAAACGAAGCTGAGAAATGCAAATATCGCTATCAACAGCGTTATCAGAAATATTGTTCAAAACGCTAGCAAGATCTGGGTTCGATATAATTTCGAATGACTTGCCAATTCTTGTTCTGGTTTCGAAATCCAAATCGGCTGAAAGTCTGAGATCCACCGGGTAATTGAAATTTGATTTCCGGATTTTTAGTACAATAGATTGATTCCAGCAATCTGTTGAACCACATCGAGTTACGCGCAAAACCCCAAAAGCCAATTCTTTCCAATGGAGGTTTGCCTACAAATGCGGTATTATAAGTACAATGATAAAATGATTAGGCTTTACAAACCTCAAATCTTGGGACTATGCTGGCTTCTACACACCGGTTTAGGAACTGCTAATTCCCAACGGGTCTCAAATCCACGCCGACTCGGAGCCACATGCTTAATAACTAGCGAAATCACGTGTGAACTTAAACAACACGTCTGATGACAAGGTCGAAGAACGGTTTATGTTCAGGTCAAAAGCAATATTGGTGGCACACACCAAAATGACGAAAGGCGAATCTCGTTATACAGTATAAGAAATAGAAGGAACCAACAACATGCTACTGCTGACGCCTCGCTTCTTTCTATGCCACATGCGTTTTCGTCCCTCTTTCCCCCATCTAACAAATCTCTCCTCGTATTCGGAGCACGTAGGACTGACGACTCCAATCCTTATACATCCGACTTGCGTGCAGCGCCTGCTGATTATGGTGCCAACTTCTTCAGGTACCTCCAAATCTGACTTTAAGCCTCGATACCCTGTTTCTCTGGCTGCGTTCAATGTTTGCACACTGAAGCAAGCAGGAGAACAAGCTTCACTTGCATCTACACTGCACTCGATTGTCACTGATGTGTGCTGACTCAAAAACTAGAATTTGAGATGCAAGCGCAGTGATTGAGTTAGCCGCCCCTTCAGTCTCCGCTTACTTCCGGATTCGCACGTCTGATGATTCAGAGGCTGCTGGAGC